AGAATAAAAATAACATATTTATACCACTTTTATTCTTCTGGCTCCACCCAGCTCTTATGTTTTTTTGGCCCCCGACCAAAATGAGTTTGATGCCCCTGGTCTAGCAAGATACTTGTTTAAACAAGATGTCCAATCCTTCACAAAACATCTGGTAATCGAGTGACAATGATTGCATCTGAGAAACTAAACATGAGACATTTTTGTGGGCATGTTCAGCAGAAGGTTGAGAATATTTTCTTGTGTACTGCGGTCATGTGCCATGCATAAAAAGAAAAGAAAGAATACTACAGTTTCAGATTCAAATTGTTACAGTTTGGGATTTGGACCAATGTGAATATTCTACAGTTTTCTGTGATGATGGGTTTCTTACAGAAAATCAAAAGTACATTGCGTGAGGAAATGAATGAGAACAAAGCAGTTGTTTTACAGTTTGCTGCAAAGTTTGAAGTGGGTGGGGCTTCCTGATTGAATAGACCAGCATCAGGGAGAATGACAAAGACACTTCTTTGTTCATAAAGCTGAGGTAAGTTCTATGAAGGTTCCATTAAAGGTTAGATCAGTGGGTCACACAGCTTTATTCTAGGTATTGTTATCATGCTTATACCTGCTCCAGATGTTGTTAATCATTTTGTGGTTTAACAAAATTGCCATTACACCACACATAATAGTATGAACAGAAGGAAGGCAATTGTCCTGAAAGTACATTTTATATTAAAATACACTAACATTTCACAATTTCTGAATATCATGTATTTACAAAGTCATTCCAAGTCCTCTCTGGAATGTCTTTATGTTCAGTATAGTACAAGAGTATAGCTCATATATATGTTTAAACAATAACATATATTCAGTATACTGCACCATAGTGAAATAATTTGGTAATTATAAAGTTTTGTGAATGAAAATCCATATGGAAGGATAATGTTGTACAAGTAAACCATGAACTAAACAAAGATCAAAGGCACAGACACGTTTTCAGACATGCACATAAAAACTGAGATTGTGTATTGAAAAGTAAGCTGAAATGAATATTTTTACGGCAAAACCTCCTACAGCAGCTATGGATTTCCCATCAAAGCCCAGTTAAACAGTAGACAGTATGAAATAGAATCTAATGAAAGAATGTCACACGTGTCAGGAGGGCATTTCTGTGCTTTAATCGTAATAGAAATTGTGAAAATGACAAAAATAATTATGAGCTGCAGGTTAAGTGCGTGAGAATGTGCCATTAGCTGCCTGCTGACTCCCATCTCCACACTGTGATGTTGAACTAATGTCTGCCTCAGCGGGCGCTCAGATCGGGGAAAGATTAACAAATTGTTGCGATTCTGATTCGCTTTAGCGTAGCTGATCGTAGCAGGAGGTGGTCCGCCCGCTCCTGGTGAAACTGGAGACTCTTTGGAGAATTGATTTGTAGATTTTACATGATTGATCAACATTTTATTCTGTTTGCCAGACACAGATTTGGCTGAACCATAAAGAGATGAGACTGTGGTGGTTTCATTCACATTTACTTATTTACTGTGTCAATGAAACCCATTTATCACGTTTACCACCAGAGATGTATTCTTAGTGTGAAATCTGTGAGCATCGAGTCCCTATAGCCAAAAATGTTCAGGCAGAAAGAATCCAAACATCATCAGAGCTACTGGTTCCACCTTGTGATGTCATTAGATGATATTTTTGGAAATGTGTTTTTGAAGTTTGCAAACTAACTTGAGACTCATTTTGTTCATCGTGGCGCTGAAATTGCCCACTCTAAAATTGCTTTTAGCTAAGACTTGAACCTTTTTTGAAGGCTACAGTCCTTAGTGAGTCTGCTATGAGTCCCTGTGCCTCCTCCCAGCACCAACCACAAGTTTTATGCAAGTTTCTCCAGGTCAGATCCCTGTTGATGCTTTCCTTTGGCCTTTTCTCCTGCCCTGACAGACATGGTGAGTGTGAGAGCATCTCTGGTTGAGTGAGGACGTATATGTAGAATTAGCCAAGGCAAGGACAGCTTATTTGTATGGCACAATTTATACACAAGGCAACTCAAAGTGCATCAAAAAGAGCAAAGCTAAAATCCCTCAGTTGTATGCACAGCTAAACTAAACCGTTTTTTAACATTGTCAGAGAAGAAGCCTGACTCACATTTTCAGGAAGACTGTTCCAAATTGTAGCAGCATGAATCTGAATTGTAGGTACTTTTGCTTTACTGATCCCTTGATGGAATTTACTGCATTTATCGTAACACAGCCCTCATGCCTCTGGGACCCACCATTTCCTGACGGGACCTATCTACATCTGTATGCCCAGAGTAAATCGACCCAAACTTTGCACAAACATAAGGACCTATTGTTTGTTCTTAAGCCTCTGACAGACTTTCGGACTTGAGTTTTGGAGCATCCTGTCCCGCGACTGATTCCCCTTTAGACCCTGCGCGCCAAAGCATGTCCGGCCGGCACACTGTAGCAAGGCCCGTCTCCAGGTCAGGACTGCGCCCCCCTCCCTCCCTCACCGCCCACTCAGCTGTGCAAATCAATAGCAGAGAATAGATAATAATGACCCAAATGAAAAGGACTTCCTGCGCCTGCGATGGCTGCATGGGGATCATGAATATCTGCAGGGGAGCATGATACTGGTGCTTTTGGTAATAGACTTACCCCTGATATGCTATTCCAGTTAATAGTCTAATCCAGTCCTGTGGCTGCTGTGGCCAGGTTATAGCCTTATCCCTGCCACAGCCCATTCACAGAGATAATAAACGAGCACGGTGTATATCCCGGAGTATCCCACCTCCGCCTGATAAGAGCCGCAGGGAAATGAAATTGTGCCTTTGGTGAAACATTATGATTTATGGGAGGGGGCTTCGACGCGGCCTGCTCTGTGTCCACGCCGGTGTGAGGGGGTGGGGGTGGGGGGCGTATGGAGTAATGCATGTGTGTTCAGACCACAAGCACTTTGTAATTGATAGTCTGTAGTGTGGAGGCTGTAATGTGGGATATGGGGTTAATTACATGCAGGTTTACATGTGATTACAAATAAAAGTGGAATCCAATTGGTTTTATTGTTTATGGAAATGGTTAATACAAACATTAATTAAAAGGTCAGAACATTGTATCTGCTGTGAAACAAATAATAACGGTGGATGAATAAATAAAACAAGCTTTCGTATATCACTGATAAATGTGCCACTGTTATTTATTCATTGTATTGTTCTTGTTCTGTTGTTTAATTTTAAAATGTGTGGTTTGGTTAGATCTTCTGTATATTTCATTGTACTACATACAATACTACATACACTGTACACTGTACTACATACACTGGGGGGCGACAGTAGCTCAGTTGGTAGAGCATTGGCCTTTGGGCCTGGAGGTCGTGAGTTCAAATCCCACCATGGGACCTACTCCAACTGCTCCCACTGATGACTGCTGTCGTTGTGTCCTTGGGCAAGACACTTAACCCCACGTTGCCTGAAGCCCCCGCTGAAAGATCAAGGCTGTCTTCACAACTGATGGAGCAGCCATCTTCCTGTGGACTCACCCCCTGCAGAGGATCAGTGAGGGACTGGTGCTATTAAGCATTGGGTGGCAGCTCTCATTGCCCCCCCCCCCCCGACCCAGAAATGGACTAATAAAGGGGTTGAAAATGAAATGAAATGAAATGAAATGAAATGTACTACATATCTGACAAGAAGAGAACCTTTATTTCTTTTACCAAGGGGGAGGAGATCTAACACAATTCAATCAGTTTCCAGCTATTGTAATTCAGTCTAACTGTCATAGTTCTCTAAACATTCATTTAATGATGGATAATGATGAGTCTGTTGTTTTGATGATGAGCCACTACAGTTATGGGAGATTTACCCCACTCTTCAGTGGATCCTCATATACGATTATGCTGATGTGTCTGCTCCACAGTCAATGTGTGTGTGTGTGTGTGTGTGTGTGTGTGTGTGTGTGTGTGAGTATGGGGTGGGGGCACATGTGGGGGGACACTGTGAGTGCTGGGCAGCACCACTCAATTGACCCCAGGGTCAAACCACTTGAGCTCTGACCCCTGAGGCTCACCCTGGAGCAGATAGAGACAGAGGGAGACGCTGCAGCAGCCGAAGCCTCAACAACAAACACCAGAGTCTAGAGCTTTGTACAGTGTCCAATCACAGAGCTGATGTGAACTGACTCTCTCTGTGAAAGACCATCAGCCAAAACTGACCAAAACTATTAACACTTGTAAGATGCTATTCATACTTTCACACACTCAAGAAGCTTGAAGGTGAAATGCAGGGGGACAATTTCCTCATGGAAGGTGTTTACTTTAATCCCTTTAACTTCCATGCTCAACAACTGTTTGGCCTGATGAAATAAATGACAATCATTATTCTAAATAAGATGAATGAATAACGAGTATCTTTGATACCTACATAATTATAGAGTTCAGAAAATTTTCATTCTCCAAACAGTGATGACGGAAGTGAGACGCTGAACACACTGGTGCATCAAAGCCCCAAACCCCCCAATCAACACCATTCATTCACTCATTACATTTATACCTATTGTGCATGGTTTTAGTGGTAGGGGAAACCGGAGCACCCGGAGGAAACCGTAGCACCCGGAGGAAACCTACACAGACATGGGGAGAACATGCAAACTCCACTCAGGCCCTGTTCCGACCGGGATTCAAACCCAGGATCTTCTTGCTGAGAAGCAAGAGTGCTATCCACTCAGCCATTGTGTCGCAATAGCGAATAAAAATAAAATAATAAGGTTTTAAAATCCTTTCAGACCTAAGTTCTTTACTGTAACTTCTCTCAGGCCTCGCCTCTTCGTGTGCCTCTCTCTCTGTGGCCTCTTGCTCCTACACTTGTCCCCTCCCCATACCCCCCTCCCTCTGGGCCCTTGCCCCTCATCTCTGTCGCTTTTGGCAGCCTATTTAAATGCTCCATTGGAGAAGGATTAAGGTTTATGCAAGGTCAGTGTGGGATGTGATAATTATAATCACAGCTTTTTGCCTGGCCAATGACGGCCATTTGTTATTCTCAGCTCAGTGGCTTCAGCGGCCCTCGGGGGGAGCTGCTGGGAGGTGTTGACAAGAGGCTGGCTGATTTACTGGGCCTCCCCCTCCCCAGCCGCCACCCTCCGCTGCGGCTCGGAGGAGGGCTGTGTGCTCTGCAACGTCCCCTTTGCGACTGCTACTTTTATCTCACTAATATCAACTTACATTATCGTTCTATTCTATGGGTGCTTCTATTCTGTGTACTCCAAATGAGTGTTTAATGTAATACACACATAGATTTTTAAAGAAGAAATATTATGCATATTTATGGATATTAAGAAGAGACTATGTACTTATTTCAAAATGTTAAATATTCTAAATTAATATCTTAAGTAGAAAATATATGCAAATGCTGTGACCTGTCTGGCTACACCACCTCTGCTGCTGTGACCAGTCCTGCTCCACCCACCTAATGTGCTGTTGCACTTTAATACTATTGTTAGTAACTTTTCGTATGTTTCATCTATCTTTTTATCTATTTATCTATCTGTCTATCAAGGGTATGAAAAATGCTTACCGCCTGTAAGTCCCAATGCTACCACTAGAGGGAGGAGTTACATTTGTTATTCCAAAAATGAACAGCCAGGTGATTGTAAAGAGATTGTAAAAGTATACTTTATTGTCCTCATAGGCAATTTGTTTTCTGCATTTGACCCATCCTACAATGCCCTAGGCCTAGGGCAACCTGTCAGGAGCAGTGACTCATCTCCAGATGTTGATACTCACTTTGTCAAGACTAAATGAACTGGAGGACTTTTCCTACTGTACATCAGATTAGATTTGGTATATTTGCAATTGCAATATTTTTTTTAACCACTCAGAAAAGCCTGGTTCCTTCTGGGATTTGAAAGTAACATGGCAGACCTGGACTTCTGGACTTTACATTTTGGTCTGTAAAAGTAACTTACAGAAGTATCGTAGATACGGCTGAGAGCTTATTTGTTGCACAAAAGTGGTCCTCTCATTTTCACTTTTTCATCTAATAAAGTTGAAAGGATATGTGAAAACCAGTGATAGAACCAAACTGTTTTGAGAGGAATTTGTTGGATGAACGTCTTTTCATTTAGGCACCCGAGCTTTAAAGGCTGCGTTGCATTACATGGGATACAGTACATACTGCTCCGGCCCGCCCCATGGGAGCGCTCAACACAACCTTATTTGTTCCCGTCTGAAGCTCTGTTGTTGGGGTCAGCTGCTCACTTTCACCTCCGCAGGGTCTGGAGGAGTTGGACCTGTAATATGAGCGTGGGCCTACTATGTCCACTCTTCATGGACCCTCTCCACATCCGTCATCCCGAGTGGGCTGTGCACACTGGAGATGGGGATATTTGTCTGGCTCTGTCACACACACACACACACTGGGGACTGGTCGTAGAGGGATCAGAGGGTTTTCTACTTGGATGGTGCTCAAACCAGAACTAAGAGAGAGCACAGAGCTGGAGGAAGGCGGGATGAGGGTGACTGACTTGTTTAACGCTCCCGCCACGGTGACTGCCCTGTCAGGAGGAGAGCGACACAACTAGTTTATATACAGTACAAACAAACTTTTTCTCATTCCTGCTTTCTTTTAAATATATTTGTATGAATTATAAAGAGTCTTGCTAACTGTTCTTAAAGTTAAGTCTTTTCGCTAGAGCAATAGAGAGTAACATACACATACAAGAAGTGACTCAGCCCCCGTCAAACATTCACTCTGTTGTTTTTATTATATATATTTGAAGTCAATAAAAAAAATTGTGAGGTGTCCTGTATCCCAGTCTTCTGATTGCTTGTGTATGCAACGTGTGTATGTTTTGATGCTGTTGTCTGTGTCCTGCACCCCAAAACATCTGAACCCTTCTGTACCTAACCTAAAAGATTGGCATTTACATATGATTTGACCATTTAGACATGTGAGTTAGCATGTCGGGTTCAGGCTGGTTAGGTCTCTAAGCGATAATAGGTTTGGGTTCCACGGTGGGATGAATTGTGATGCTGCCTGGTATGATACAGCCAAGTCCCCTCCTTGGAGCCCATCAGGGCACGGCCAACAAAGGCCCTCCTGTGGAATCACCACCTGCAGAGTCCTTGGGGGACAGGTGCAGAGCCCTGGATCGAGGAAAGCTGCCTGCCTCTGTGACCCGGCTCCAGATAAAGCGTAAAAAATGGATGTATGGAGTTAATCCTACAGCTCATGATAAACCGCAGGTCTTCATGAGGCTGATGCTTCATGGATACCTTGGTTATGGCTATGGGACGTATCAGAATCAGTGTGCTCATTGTTGGTCAAATCGCTTCTGGTATACAACAAGCTGTTAGTAAAGGTCTATTTAAACCAATGGATTTTGTCACATAGAAGCTGCCGTAGATCCGATACGCCAAAATGGGCCTCTCCTCAGAACAGTCCATGCCTATTTCTGTTGCCACTGCTCTAATTGTCTACGCTTGTGTTCGACAGGCCCTCTGTGAAGGACGGCTCTCTCATTAGGCATTCACACCCAGGACTCGCTCCAATTGGGCTGCCTAAGAAATCTGAAGGCAATGCAATTGTGTAATTTGCACACAAAGTGGTCCGGATTGATCCAAAATAAACCTCTCAACTTTAAATGTAGGGGGAGAGGGAGGGCGGATAATTGCATCATTTAGTGAATTGATTGGCTCAGAGTCGATGGAAGGGAATCAGGAAGCAGCAGATAAACGGTGACAGCAGCGCCTTTTAGAGCGGGCACCCATCGACTCAGCGCCCCACAACGCCCAGCTTTAAGCAACACACACCAGCCCTTAAGGCCACACATATGTACACACCAGGAAACACACAGGAACACAGCAGAGCGCGATAAAGCGGCACACACAGGCAGATTAGATAGCACAAAAGAGCCCAGGTCCACATCACACACAGCGCTCCAGGGCGGGACAATGGAAGACAGAATTAGAGGTAACAATAGATTTCATTAAGCCAAACTAGACTTAACGAGACAATCGATACGTCATAATTAAAGCGAGGAGGCTGAGAGCGACTTAGACTCCAAATGATGACTGCGCTTATTAAGATGGAGCAGATAGAGAAGGGCTGCCTGACAAAAGGGCTCTGTAACTACCTACCACATCAGGCCTTTGTGCTCACAGCGGCCTTTCACACACCAGGATAGATGGGAGTGAGCAAAGAGTAAAGCATAGGGGACTGAGGGAGGATGAAGAGAGTGAGCATGCTCCTCAGACTGTACGTTATGAGATTACAATGGGAAAAAAGACTATTTGAATAACTGGATTTGAATCAGAAATTTAGAAAGTTTTGGCTGGTATTAAGGTACAATAATGGTATATAAAACATATATATGGAGTACCTTCAGTCAAATATATTCCCATATCCTTATTACCCTTTTTTCACATCAGATGGTCTACAGATTCAGCTCATTGCAATCCTGTTTTGTTCAATCCTGTCCAATCTCTTTCATTTCATTTTTCAATTTCTTTCCGATGCTTACATTAACATATCCAAGTGTGGGGCAACCAATAGATAACAATGCAGAGTCAGTGTATATATCTATACATACCTTATCAAGGTCTGAAACATCAATTGCCAAAGGAAATGTGCCAAAACAAAAGCAAAACAAGACATTGTGGTGAAACTCTTTAAAATTATACGTTCTCAAACATACGGTTCCTCGGGGGACGACGTTTGTGGTTCACCGGATGTCATCGCCCCATATGGATACTTGCCTCACACTCTCTCTCACCATTCTCTGGACCTACAGTAGATGTTCATTCAGTCAATTTTGTTAGCGATTTGGAAATAAACCAGCTTAAAACCAGCTTAACGCAAGGACTTGCACCTTTTTCCATTTACAATATAGTTTCATGTGAGTCTTGTCTTTTGGTTTCTGTTTGTGTTTCTTGTTTTAGTGTTGACCTATAATAGTCTGAAAAATGAAGAGATGATGGTAGACCAACGCATTGAGCATGATCAGTCACAACATGGCCGTTTAAAAGCCTTACACTTATTTTTCAGTATAGTTTTGATCTACTTTCTACTTGAATGGTGGCGTTTCAGTGTCCAGGTGCTCTTTTCATAATAGTTTTAAAGTATACATGAATATTTTGTGAAGAGTGTGCCTCTCCTCCGCCTCTTTTATCCGAGCGCAGTGACCCAGCTGAAGTGTGATTGTAACGCTCTGAATGCTATGGCCCAACTGTGAGTAACACCCCGACTCGTCATTTCCCCTGATGTGCTCTGCAATAGGCACAACAATGGGCAGCCGGCACGGAACGCTACATTTAAAGTATGACTTCCTGCCGTAGTGGTAATAAGATCAGTTTCACCCGTCATTGACTGGTATATGAAGGCCAGGCTTCAATGAGAGCTGTACTGTCGCGTTGAGGGAAGAAAGGCGCACCATTGTCAGAGCGAGGCAGTTAAAGTGTAGAATACATCAGTGGATTAAGCTGCATAATGTGAGCCATTGAGGGCCACTGAGCGGATCGGAATATTAGTACAAGTACCTGGCTCTGTCTCTCCTTTCAGCACTTCTTCAGCGTACATTCCTCATTATCATAGATTAAGTTGTGATGGATACAAATCAATTTTTGATAGTGAGATGTGAATTATTTGATGCAGAAAGACTAAGGCATTGCATTGCATGTATGCCCTTCAGACCGTCCCGGGACACCGAACATTTTGATTTCTAATGAATAGCTGTAAGTGTGACAAATAAGACTAAACTGGTTTCAACTTTAGGCTATATATTTGAAGCTGTTCTGGCGAGGCCTATTCACTGTGGGAGGAGCTGAGCCTGGTGAAAGGACTGTTGACACCACACAGTCTTTGTCCTGCCATCTCTCCATCTCTCACTCTCACATGTCTTAGAGCCACTATCATTTCTGAATTATATTTTGCGCCTCATTAAACCTCTATAGTGCTGGAGAGCGGAGGGGACGCAGAGGGGAGGAGCAGGATTGATGAAACCACTGGAGAAATATGAAGTGAGGCTGCAGGAGGTGAGGCCTCCTCCTCAGAACATACTGTATTTACACTCGTGAAAAGATGGAGCTAATTAACGCCAATTAACACAGAGTGTGCACACAGCTGGAGATGACACACTCTCTGTAGAGGACCCATCCAACACTGTGACAAAGACCCAAGACAAGTGTGGCTAACTGTCCAATCCATCTTTGAAGTCTCAGCTGACAATTATTTTCACAATGACATTATGACCGGTTTGATTTAGAAAACACAAGTACAATTGATTTTTTGAATATGAAGTAGTGCCACTAAATACATTCATTAAAAAATTATAGGCAAAGAATAAAAAAGGAATAAATACAAAAAGCAGAATATAAATTAAAAAAATCAGAATATTACTGAAAAATGACTGAAAAACAGATTAAATGCATTAAACAGTGCTTTGAGATGTTCAACATTTAGGAAATATTGATATAATCTAACAATTCTTCATCAAACTTATAACCCTGTCTTCTATGATGGGTTCACTGGACTGATATGCTGACACCACAAAACTTCTAAAGGAAATTCTGAGTTTCAAATGAGGCAGAATACTTTAGCAGGACATACAACACAATTTATTCTTGTATATTCCTAAATCACAACAGCAGTCACCTCAGACGACTTAACAATCGAAATCACCAACACAGATCAGAGAATCAACAGTTAAGACACAAAAAATGCACATATATATATTGGTCCATATATGGTGAGACCAATGTCATGAATGTGGATAAATGTCCATACATGTTGTAGAATGTTAAAGTGTCCTGGATCATCACCATAGTCCTTCTTGTTAGACACTAACTGTCTGACAGACCCTCCTGCACTGGCAAGGAAAAACTCTAAAACCCAGAGGGAGAAAAGCGGGAAACCTCGGGGAGATCCACATTGAGAGTGGGATCCGCTCGACACGGACGGACAGGCTATAGATCCAGAACCTAAACAGCACTCCCAGGCGGGTCGGGGGGCTGGGCAGTCCGCAGGTGGACATGACACAATTTTAACAAGGCCCAAATTTGTAGTTTTTGTATATATAAGAAGAAAAAAAAGTTGGCTTTCATTTCAGAGCTGTTACTTTGCTATGCTCTTTTAAAAGAAAAAAAGATCAATAAAAAATCTTAGTGGTCTAAACAGGAAAAATCTCAAGTTGTAATGGCACTTTTGCAAATCACTGTGTACGTAGGTAAATCGCCCATCTACCCAAACAGTTGACTTGACCACAGCTAACCATTCACTCAAACGCCAGCCTCAGAGTAGTGAAACCGTGAAACCTTTTATTACAATCCTTTCCATTCAAGTTCTGACCAGGCATGGCACTGCTTAGCTTAAGAGATTGGTAGGTAAAAGTTGATTTTATCATCATATTTTCTGTCTTTGACACCATAAGATGCAATTATAGACTTGCAATAGCTGTTAATTGCCTTGGAGGTCCAGAAAGCCTTGATAGCTTTCATATTATTTCGAACAACCTGTGTTTTGTTTGGGGAGACAATAGGGAAAAAACTGTATGAAAAAATCCACATAGATTCCAAAACAATATTT